GATATTTCTTGCAATGTTGTTTGTGAGAGTAAAAACAGTGGTACAGAGATATATAAGATACATTTTAATTTTATAACACAATTTTTAAAATGATACTTGATCATAGTGACTTAAAGTTATTTTAAGTGAGTATTTTTTGGAAAAACTAATTTTGTTCCTAGAAAACAGGATACTATATTCTAGAATTATGAAATTTTAAAAATGCATAAATATTCTAATTCAGTGAGGAATGTATAAAATCACACAGAAAAAATAAATTTGTGTCATAGAATATTGATATTAAATATTAAACTGTGGAAGTAATTTCATATAGGGAGAATAACACTTCTAATTCTGTCCAGCTGTTTAGTTGTCACGTCGTCATCGTCGTCGTCGTCTTCTTCTTCTTCTTCTTCTTCTTCTTCTTCTTCTTCTTCTTCTTCTTCTTCTTCTTCTTCTTCTTCTTCTTACTTTACTTTATAACTCACTCACTCCAGGGTATGAATTCTGTATCTTTTTATTGACGTTGTCTATGTAGAGCTTTGCCATTAGGGGACACATATCATTCACTATTTTCTGTTTGTAGAGCTTCATCTTCATCCTGAAACAGGGATACATTGGAAATAGAATGAAATAATTTGGGCACTTATTATTGGGAGAAAAAGGACATGTGTAAAGTAGAGCATATATAGCTATTAAAAGGCTTGAAGGTATACCTTATATATTGATACAGAAAGAACTCTAAATACATTCACTTTTTAATTTTAATCCTTTTAATTCCATTGTTCAAAAGTCATAATGTTCGCTTTAAAAAAATTAAATGATTTAGAAGTATGTAAAGAATAAGCGAAAGTGTTCCTTCTCTCCTCCCATGCTATGCCCCAGAAGCAATCATTGTCAACAGTTTGGTATTTCATCTATCTTTGAATTGTTCTATGATTTAAGATACGTTATTTACTTTTAAAAATGTAAAATAGTATGTTACCATTTGTAATTTTTAAAGGATATGCATGTTTGTATATGCAAAAAATAAGAAAACACTTTCTGGAAATATGTAGGATAGACTAGAACTTTTACTTTCACTTTGTTCTTCTGCTTTAATCTCTTACCGTGAGCATATAATACTTTTATTTTAAAAAATAAAAATGTAAACATTTAAAAAAAAACTGAAAACAAAGTTTAAAAGATGAAGATACATTATGATTGATTTGACCATGGGGTGAGAGGCAGAGAGTTTGTTTAAACTTGTGACTTTAATTCATGATGTGTTTTTTGGTAAGTCCCTTTCATTTCTCAATTCATAAACTCAAGATAATATAATGCAAAAGATAATCTTTGTAAAAACCTTTGAGGTTTTGGATGAATGATGACTGATGCAAGAATATTACTCCCCAGAGACTGTTAAAGCAGTTTGGAAATCCACTATTCTACTTTCTTAAGGGGAAAATGGAATTTGGCCATGAATATTTTAGCTACTAGCAGATCTGGCGGGGCATGGTATTTACAGGCCACTTCAAAGTCAGAAAGTGGGATTTCACCTTCATTCTGTTAGGCCAGAGAAATCCAACTACTCAATGTCAAAGTGTCATGAAGATATTTTGGCATTTTCCACTCCAATTTTTTCTATTCTTTATTTTTCAAGACATTATGCAGACCCAAATTTCGCATTTTACTTGTTTTGGTTAATTTCACTTATATTTGCACACTGTTTTGCATTTTACAAAATGATTTCATATTCTTTACCTTATTTGACTTAACTTGTTGAAGTAAAGCCCTTCAAGTGATTGGCTTTCTGGAAATGACTTTCACTGAGGCTTCGCTTTCAAATCACTACACTTTGCAGTCCATTTTGCTCAGTTTTGTTCTGTAGAAAATTTTACATAGGACATGAAACTACTAGTCATGATTTAACTGTGAAGAAAGATCACATGACAAATGGAAGACTCAAGTAAAAAGGCTCCAGGCTTCCTTTTCTAGTAAAGGATGGTACAAAATTTTGGACAACTTCACTAACAAAAAATGCTGATACTTTAGTAGATCAAAAGGCCTCTCAACTTTCAAGTCACATAAAGTGATGCCATAAAGGCATGCCTAAGGGGGTAGGTAGGCAGAAGCCAGTCCCAACGCAGCTTTTAACTCTGCAGTCACTCAAAAAAACCCTTCCTGAAGATATTCTTTGTGTATAGCCATGGTGGAGTATGACATTGTTTTTCTCTATTTTAGGCAGGAAGAAACTTCGACTGTTCGAATACCTTCATGAATCCCTGTGTAATCCCGAGATGGCATCTTGTATTCAGTGGGTTGATAAAACCAAAGGCATTTTTCAATTTGTATCAAAAAATAAAGAAAAACTCGCCCAACTTTGGGGAAAAAGAAAAGGCAACCGGAAAACCATGACTTACCAGAAAATGGCCAGAGCACTGAGAAATTATGGAAGAACTGGGGAAATCACCAAAATCCGGAGAAAACTAACTTACCAATTCAGTGAGACCATTCTCCAAAGATTCTCTCCGTCTTATTTCTTGGAAAAAGAGATCTTCTACTCACAGTATGTTCAACCTGATCAAGGATATCTAAGTTTAAGCAATTGGAATGCAAATTGTAATTATATGTATGCCAATTACCATGAGCTGAGTCACCCTAATTGCTAAATATACCCTTACATTTTATGATTTCTTGGCATCAGAAATCCCTACACATTTCAGGATTTTTCTCTTAAAGCAAATGCCGAAGAAAAAAACAATTAACTTCATTCTTGTTACCTTATATTAAGTAACATATAATCTGTACTAACTTGGTGAGAAATTCTGCTAGTGAACAATGTTAAAATGATCAAGTCCCATTTGAAAGTATAGACTAACTGTCCTCATTCTTACTATTGTCTATGGAATACTTTTTTCTGATTAACAATGCCAGTAGAGATGACTTGATTCATATATTAATTTAAATATTATTTTTCTGAAAGTCATTCCAGGCCTAAAAAAAAAAAATCACTAACATATCTGATGGCTTTAGCAACAAAACAAAAATTTATTATGCGTGATCGTGTTTGTTTCATGATAAAATACATCTAATGGCTTTAAAACCTTCAGTGGCAATCCTGATTCCATTATTTTCTCTGCACTTCAGACCTCATGGTGCTAAAGAAACAATGATCTAAGGAAAATGCCACATACCTTAATGATAGAACTCCAAAGCTTACACCTCCCACAAATTATTTCCTTGCATTTCTCTCTTCCCTAAGTTATATCCAAAAGCTAACTTTTCTTGTTCTCCTGCCACTAAGCCACAGGGAGGTGCTCTTGAGCCTGTTATATCTGGCCCAACCTTGGATCGTGATCTCCTTTCCTTGAACTTGCCTAGCCTGAGACCAAACTGGAATAGTCCAAGAAAGGAAAAAAAAAAATTCTGATAAATGATAAGAAACAAGCAAGTAATAAACCCAGAGAGAAACGAGGATTTAGGCAGTCTGGCTTGAAAGCTATGGTTTATTCTCCACATTTCATAAGGAACCCTGAGAAGAAATCCTTTGTTTCTTCTTGCTCAGTAGGTTCATGCATGTGCCATCTCTATTACCACGAAGCAGGAGAGCTTCCTAGACTTCATGAGCCATTTTCCTCCAGGCCAAGAGCTCCCTGGAGCCTGCCCTATCCAATCGGTAGCATTTCCACTCTCCTCTTCCTTTATATCCTTCTGATGTCCTTCCTTCCCCAGGGACACTTAAGAAAGAACATATGTGAAGTAGAAAACAAAGTAAATGAACAAACTCATAGGTACGGACAACAGAATGGTGGTTACCAGAGGGGAAGTGGGTGGGGAGGACAAAGAGGGTAAAGGGAACAAATATATGATAACAAAAAGAAAGTCGATTTGGGGTGGTGAGCACACAGTTGAGTATACAGATTTACTATGTTGTATGCCTGAAATTTATATGTTACTAACCAGTGTTACCCCAATAAGCCTAATAAAATTTTTAAAAAATGGTAGACCCAGAGTGACTAAATGGAGGTTACCTTGATATTGGCCATCTCTACATGTAGTCTGGATTTCTGTTATGGACTGAATGTTCCTCACCTTTGTCCTCCATATTTATATGTTGAAAAACCTATCCCCAAAGTGATTATATTTGAAGGCGAGGTCTTTGGGAGGTGATTAGGTCTTGAGGGTGGATCCCTCATGAATGGGTTTAATGTCCTTATTAAAGACCCCCAGAGAGCTCCCTTTCTCCTTCCACTGTGTGTAGATACAAGAAGACAGCTGTCTATGAACCAGGAAGTGGGCCCTCACCAGACACTGATTGTTCTGGCACCTTAATATTGGACTTCCCAGCCTCCTGAACTGTAAGAAACAAATTTCTGTTGTTTATAAGCCATCTAGTTTATGGTATCCTGTTACAGCAACTTGAACAGACTAAGACCATTGCAATTAGTGCTATCATCAAAGTAGGACTCAGTAATCACACCCATTCTCCCACAAAGAATATATGCTTTTATAAAACATAAATAAATTTTACCAAAGATTGCAAAGAGGAAATGGTGAAGAGGGTTTATATAACAAAGCATTCAGCCATTGACTTAATAAAATTCCATCAACATTTTCTCCCATGGTCCCATCTACACACATTGCCAGCTTGAATAGTTTATTCTGACAGTTCTCTCAAACACCTCTAATCAGGTCTAACTCTCTTTCTTGCCATTATAGAGTTTGCTTCCTTTTGGGCAGAAACATGGTTTCTGCCTTTTACCCACAATATACCTACCAAAAGCTCATTTTCACAAACAAGTCTTTCCTTATAAAGAAATATCAGCTATTCAAAGGCTAAAACCCTCTCCATATATTATGGGAATGACACCCTATTTCAAATAGGTGATCCTCCTTACCACCACACAAGGACAAGGAAGTGAGACTTCTTAGCTTTGCTTCATGGCCCCTCTTCCTGGTTATGGTATCCCATCTTCCATCTTGTCACTTTCATCTGGCTAAATGGCTCATTAAACTCCTCCAGTGAGTGGAAGTTTTGAGAAGCAAACTCCATCCAATTACAGTGCAGCCCCTGGGCACCTTCCCATTAGTTTCTTGGCCCAGGTGTTAAGTATTAAATCTTTCCTTCCAGGTGCTTCCTGTCAGCACCTCCTTTAAATTACAGGATCTTCCTCTGCACTCTGGTCCTGGAACTTGTGGTCTTTCTGGTTGATTTATTCTTTTTTCTCCACTCAGTTCTTTTTTTTCATATGGCATAAGTAAATGCTGAAAATGTTTACCTTTTCCTCATCCCAGCCATTCTATGTAAGAAGTATTCTATGGGGCGGCTCTATTCAAAGGTATATTCTTTACCAAATTAAAAGAAAAACAAATGCATGAAATAGATGGAAGAATTCGTTATAATACATAAACTGAAAAATAACTACAATAATTTTCTTCCTCCCCTCCTGTTCTCTCTTTCTGCTACCCTGTGCTAGGTAGACTATATCATACCCTGGATATCCAGTGCTAAGTGAAACAGAAATGGTTCCATTTATCATGAAACTTCAGTTCTATCAATATTTAAAGATTTGTAAGTTCTATTAATATTTAACTAAAATGTACTTAATAGCTCACTGATGAGCGATTTCTTGATTGATTAGGAACACATATATAATAAGATATGTAAAGCGCATTAAGATGGCAACATTAATTATAGCTAATCTCAGCTGTAAAGACTGATGTCTACACCTATATAACCATCATCCAAATTAAGATACAGAACACTTCCGGCACCCCATAAGTTTCTCTCAATCTCCTTCCCAGTCTATGTCCACCTTCTCGAACATCATATAAATAGACTCACACAGTATGTGCTCTTTACATCTGGTTTTATTTTCCTCAATATGATATTTACGAAGTTAGTCAACGTTGCTGCACATACCAGAAGTTTTTTTTTTTTTTCATTGCTTTTTAACTCATTTTTAAAAGACAGAGCCAATTCCTTCACAGCCATGGAATCCCTTCTTTAATTGCCAGATGCTGTAAATATAAAATGGACCGTGACTATTCCCATGGTCACATGGATAAAACATTAATAAAGAACATTACTATCAAATATCATTGAAACCTGCTCTCTAGAGATCTGGAATGACTCCTGTACATTTCATATAACCACAATTTAAATTTATATTTAGATACATTGATTCATATAGTTTTCTCTAACTCATATAATCTGGGTAGAATTTGATTTTGTGTTTTGATGATGTGGATTCTGATAATAAAGATAGTAACGTAAAATAGGTTTAAAGCAATTTACTCCTTTTCCATGGATTGATGAAAGTTAATTAAAACATTTTTAATGACTAAAATGAACCATATTTATTCAAGTTTCCTGCTCCCATCTCAGAGGTGAAGATACCCTTTGTTTACCCTTGCAAAATGGTGAAAAATTACTCTGAATCTGATAGGTGGCCGCCTCTTTAATTTAGGCCTGGATGGATTTTAAGGGCAGCAGGTATATACTAGAAAGAAAGAGCGTGGAAGTAGGGATTGGTTATACTTTTCAGGCAAGGACAGTGAGGCATCCCATGAATGTGTGAAATAGACAACCTCAAGAAAAGTCTATCAGGAGCATCCCTGATTTACCCAGGCTATGAACTAGTTTAATGAAGAGCTGAAAATGGAAAAAGAATGTAGAGCATCTAAATTTTTTCTGTAGTGGGCCACATAATTAGAAATCCAAATATAAAAGGCACATGAATGCTTTAATGGTGATCTGCTGAGTCAAAGAAGTAGATGTGGCTCAAATATGAGATATCTGTAATTGTGCAAGAACAAAGCTTTGCACAATGTTTGGATCTGCTAACAGATGTATCTTTATTCTCTACAGCTGTAAGAGCTAGTGAAGATTCTCTTCCATAAGCAAACTCATACAGGATTTGCAGTGGTGGGTTAATCAATCAAAGTCCACTGAGTTCATATACAGCTTAAGTGAACAAACCGAATTTCCTATAATAAACATTTTGTGATGTAGGTGAACAAATAAAATTTTACGTACCAAGCATGTTTTACATAAGCAATTAAATGATAGCAAGGCATGTGGTGAAAGATCACATTTACAAGTTTTAGAGTCAGACTGATATCTCTTGGAACACTTTGTTTTTCTCACTGACTGTTAGTAAAAGCAGGGAGATCAGTTGGGATATTCTGGGCTTCAAGTAACAAAAAGCTCTGACTCAAACTGTTTTTAAAACATAAGAAAATTTACTCACAGATCAAGCAGTCCAAAGGAAGAGTGAGCTACAACCATGATACATATTGTTCTGGCCTCATTTTCTCGTGATTCTTTTATTTCTTATTGTTGCCATTGGCCTTATCTTCAGGTTCCCTGGGAGTAGAATGACTGCTACAGTTAGGTTACATCCCGACACAACTTTGTCCCATGACAGAAAAGACCATTTTCCCATTGTCTTCTTCATAGTCACAAGGAGCTCCCGGAACATCTCTCCTCATGGATTATTGACTGGAACTGGGTCCCATCCTCAGCCCTAAATCAATCAATGGCAAGGGGAAAGGGACAGCTGTGACTGGCTCAGAACAAATAGAATTTATTCCTGGAGGGGAGAAAGGGTCATGATCCCTTGAGTCACAGGAGAAAGGGATAAATACCTGAATAAAACTGGTGTTTGGACTGAAAGGAGAGTGTAATTTATATTGAAGAAGGAACCAACAATGTTTGCTACAGCCCACTCTTTTGACTGCCCAGTATCTCTATGTACACTTAAGTGTTTGTGCCTTTATTGAAATTATTCACATATTCCCTAAGAGAAGGCTAAGTCTCATCAAGTTACTACATCCAAGTCCAGATTGTTGCGTAATGTAGTTTTAATATGTTCTATTAGCTATGTTCTATTTAGGTATGTTCTAAATATGTTCTATTTAGATA